GTTACAGAAAGATTGCCAGTTGTTGCAATTTTCTGTCTGTTGTTTTATTAACAAGTAGATTGGTGGCTACAGATGGTCCAATTGTTAAACCTACCTACCAAGCTGTGATTGGTTGACTGTACCTATTAAACAATCTGCACAGGGCTTAGATGTGAAAATAGATCTACAGGTCTGGAACAAAATAGACTTCATGTTGAATTTCGTTTACTGTTGTTGTGAACTGTGTGTACAAACCTTTTTGATCAGTGTGTTCACTGACTGCTGAATAGATCATGGTAGCATCTTTATTTTCCATTTAATTTGTTCCCAACTCTTCTTTTATCTTTTCCCCTAAGAATGCAGATCCTTTATCTGTTGCTAGGCAACAGCTGGTAATAATAAATGCGGTAGTCGGGTATCTAGAAGTGTTGCCCCAGATAGACCCAAGCGGAGCTGCAGAGCTGTGAATGAAGTGATCTAAAAATAGTCCGGTGAGATGGTTTAGGTGTGGGAGTATGAATGGTTTCCAGGGTTCACTCCCACAGGATGCTCCATGTGAATGAAACAACAGTATGACCTGATGATTCTCTAAAGCAGTATCTACCTCTCACTGCTTTTAATCTCTTTACGGTCCTACTGTTTTTGCAGTAATTGAAAGTGTCCCTCAGCTCCAGTTGCATAAACACACGCACACACACACAAACGCACACACACCTCTGCACTTTCCAGTAAGGGCATTTTTCTCAGTTGATTACCTCTGGTTGTTATTTGTCTTGTTTCTCATGGTTGGTTATCTGACCTGACATTTAGCTGGTGCTGTTGACAAATTAGCTTTGTTTTCTAAGGTCCCTTATTAGGACACTTGTTTATAGTTGTAGTCATTTTCATCCATGAAATCATTCACAGTGTGCACACATTATCTCGCGCTGACTCAATGAAGCAGTCAGCACTTAGGAATCTGTGATGGATTGGTTTTGTTGTGCGTGTGTTTTTAGGACAAGTGGAGGAGGAAGATGTGTACGAGGGGCACGCAGACCACAGCCCAGCTCTAGCCAAGCCAGCGTGTGTGAACGGGACAGAGGGGGGGTCTCTGAACAGCAAGGCCAAAGCCGAACGCCGGTCCTCCTCTTCATCAAACCCCTCTCGTAAAGGAGTCTCCACAGCCAGCAAGATCCGCAAGCTCTCCACCTGCAAACAGCAATGACCCCCTCCTCTTCCTCCCTCGGCAACAACCCTCCTGGTGAGTGTGGAGACTGAAGAGCTGTCTGAGAATATATGATATAATTAATAGGTGTAAATCGAATATGAAAATCTACATTTGACTGTGGAAAGGGTCGGTCTCGCCTCATCCACTTTATATACGACAGAAGCACTTTTGAAAGAGAAATGTAAAATTGGGTCTAGCTGTCCATGAAATTCATTCAATGTATTTTAATTCAATATGAACTTCTTTGAAGTGATGTAAACAAACCACCTATCAATCAGCTGGACTCTTGAGGAGATTGTCCCTCCCCCCTGCTGCCACTTTATGGAGGTTTTGGTTTGAAAAATGAGATGGTGTTGTATAAATGACTCTTCATTTCTACTTCACAAATCAGCCGGTCCTCGTCCATGCAATGCTTTCCAAGCACGCAAAACGAATAAAAGAAAACAGAAGAGAGGTAACCCTGCAGCAGGTGCTGCCAGTTATGACATTCCAATTGATAACAATGACATCAAATTGATCTTGTTGCTGTGCTTACTGGCACCGTAGTCTGTGGAGACACAGTTTCATAGACATTATCTGCATAAATGAATAATAATAATAATTCATTGCATTTATTAGAGCGCTTTTCTGAATGCTCAAAGCGCATTACATTACACTTATCAGACCGGTAACAGTGAATGCTGTGGACAATACCCACAGGAGCAAATGATACAGTATATATTATTATTAAATGGAAGAAAGAATATTCTGACGTCATGTCACGATTAAGAAAAGGTGTGAATTGTGCTCCAGCCGTGCTTGGAAGAAACCTTTCCATACAGCAGACAGAGGGAAAAGATTAAGATAATCCCGGCAGGAGAGCAGATGAAATGATGGGAGGGATGTGTTGAGAACAGACAAGAGACGTAAAGACGAGTATCAGTGAAGAGAGGCAGAGGAAATCAGGGAGGAGGCGGCGAGTCTACTTTGATATTCAGAAAGCAGTGCTCTGACTCACCACCACATGGAGGCTTGCCATACAGTCCCAGAAACCACATCTGGTCCGGTCTGGAAGCATCAGTCTTTTTCTCTCTGTTTGGATTCTTTAGCCTTCAGGGGTTTGTCAGCGTCCCTCATTCAAGCTGAGATTCATGCTGAAGCGTACGCAGACTTTTTAACAGGTTGTCTCCTCCTCTCTTCCCAGTTACCACCCACAGTTTGCTCTTTCAAACTCTCGCACATACAAACCAGTCACGGTGTGAGGCTGTTTGTCATGAGTGCAGTGCAGAGGAGATGCTGTGTATTCATTTGTTCAGGCGATGACTCACTGTGGATGAGATCAAGTGGGCTGTGGGATGTTTGTCTCTCTCTTTGCCTCAGTGGAGATGAATCTTTCCCTGTTAACAGACCCAATTTGTACGGTCTTGTAATATAAAAGAAACACTTTTCTCACCAAAATTGGCACATTATACGCAGGAAAACATTCCAACAAATACCTGATCAACTCTTTCTTTTTGCCAGTAGTCGAGTAAACCTTACGGCTATCTTTTCTGGCGTTCAACAGCACAAATGCACATGAAGCATGGCTAAACAAATACATAAATAGAAAACGCAACAGAAAGCGAATCCTAATGCAGTTAAATAGTCAATGTCCAGGCAAGAACTTCAGTTTGTTCCTTTATTGTCTTGTATTCCAATAATGCACATATACAATTGTTTCACGGATGCCTTTCCTGTGGCTTCTCCTGTAGCATATCCTATGTTCCCTGATCAAAAACCATATGCTCGTCTGGTGCGCCAATCCCACCACCACCTGCTTCAAATGTATACTAATCACCAGGTGCCCAAGTCACCCGGTGCCAAAACCTCCTTTAAAATAAAAGCATAGAGAACTACTGCAGCTAAAATAACGATGATAAATAATGATTCATGTAATACAAACAAAAACAGCTAGAAATTAAATATTGAATTACTAAATAACATAAACCCTTGTATAGCTCCAACAGTTAATAAACAGTCAAAATGTTACGTTAGGGTATTTTATATAACTGTTCAGTTTCTCTTTCCAACCCTCAAACCACAGTTGGTGATTGTTGTACAACAAGGCTGTGGAAAGGCTAACGGGTGGTTGGGATGAGTTTTATTTTGTTTCGCTTGAGTTTGAATGAAGTGTGTCGTACGAAGTTCAGCGAGTAAGAATGACTGTTTATGTCAAAGGATGCTTTGAAGAGAGCATATTAATCATACATTTTTTACGTTAATAAATTCTACTTATTGTCCACATCTGTATTTATTTGACATCCATGTAAACAATTGTCATAGCATTGCACTGGGAAAATAATGGAAATGACTGAGGTGTCATGTTTCCATCAGTGCCGATCAGTGCTGGATCACATTTCTTCCGGAAACGAAAGGCGATTGTAACTTTTCCCATTATTGGCAAAACCCACAGCGAGTGTTTTCTGTCAACTGTGGAAAAGGCGCTATGGGGAACTCCACCTGACGTCTGTTTTACTCTGTCCTCTGTCTCTCTCAGGTTGATCTGTCCCCGTCCTTCTGTGTCCGGAGTCCTCACCATTGTGACAGAAACCTGCTGACGTTAACGCCCCCTCCCCTCCTCGGACCCCCGGCCTGCAGAGTCTTCTGGAGATGCGGTATGAGCGACGGGGAGGAGGAGGAGGACAGCATGAAATGTTCTTTTTGCTCTGAGACTGAGGCACTGGCTGTGAAGATGTTTTTTTTCCTCCTCCCATATGTTGGCTCCTTATAACTCTTGTCATCCAGTTCTGTCATTCCCCCCCCCCCCCCCCCCACACCCTGACATCCTCTATAGAGGCCCGAGTGTTTTTCCAGACTATACAAACACCATCACCCCCTGTACCCCCGCCCATCCACCCCCTCTACCCCACATCCTGTTTCTTTGACTACCTTTTGTTTTTACTGAACCCTAATGGCAGATTTTAAGACACATTGTGATGTGTGAAAAAATTAAAGAGAAAAGATAACAAAAGTTATGAATAATTCTATATTTAAATCTATAATGAGAATAATTATGATAGTACTCTACTACCACCGTCATAAAAACTGCATGCTGTACAGAGCTGGAAGAAAGGGAAAGTGCTTGGTTTGTGGACAGACTGAAGCTTTGAGATCCTCCGCTGATCTGTTGGGGATGTTTGATTTCCATTTAGGTTTCTTCTTTTATTTTTTCCAATGAATATTTTTTAATTATTATTTATATAAAATATGTCCCAAACAGGCTATTTTGTTGGATGATCCTTTCTGTTTGATTTTGAGACGAGCATATTTTTTTTCATACAGTACACCTCAATGTCCTGGTTTTTGTGGTATTTTTACCACTGTCCTTTAAAAGGTTATACTTTGATAGAAATACTCTCCTCGTCTTTCCGGGGGTTTGTCGTCGGATCATAGAATATCAAGAGCTGCTGCCGCTCTGCTGCAGGCGGTGTGTCGTCACAATCAGCCAGTCGTCTGTTTTCCAGCGAAGCTCTTTGTTACGCTGATCACATCAGTGGGAGCTCTTCCCCCCCCCCCAACCCCCTTTTCCGCAGCCAGGCCCATCGTCAGCCCCTCGCTGGGAATAGATCAGAGAGCAGGTGAGTCACAACTCTGAGGGAGGGAGGGAGAGAGAGAGAGTAGTGCTTCCCACGTCAGCAAGGTCGACGGAGAGATTCTCCGTTGAGCAGGAGAAATTATTGTTTCAGTGTGATTGGTTCATCAGGACAACTTAGATGAATCTGCCGTCATGACGGTTTCACACAGTACATCAGCTTACGTTTAACACATCACAACAGCATAGTCACAATTGGATGAGTCACTTTTTTCCACTTTTTTTAATTCAGAAAAGTGTTCAGTCCAAAATGTTTGTGCCTCAGATGGTCCCACATGGTCTGGCCTTTGTCAAGCCTGAGATACATTTGAATTTTCTGCACTACTTGTTTTACAGTTAAGCAGATGGTTCAGCATGAATGAGGACAGAGACAAGAGTTGTATTACATACATGTACTGTAACCCAGGTCTGTGTGAAAAAGGGACAAGCTGTGCCTACTCTCAGTTTCCCAGGTGACATGTTCTCATGTTGAAGAGATGCAATTTGACATGAATGCAAAACGAATAATTACATTTGACATCCATACTGGCAGAGAGAGAGTAGAGAGAAAGCTATTCACCCTGTGATTTTACCATGTCAAGACATAATATCAGAGTATTACCTAGAGGCTAGAGTTGCTAGTATTCTATCTTTTTCTTAATGTCAACAGAAAAACAAAACCAGCAGAGTTTCAATGTCTCTCTTCCCTAGCCTAGTGGCTCTCAGCCCATTGTTTTACCATTGAGGACAATTCTTTAGAAATGGATGACGCATATTTTATTTATATTTTAAATGTTTAATTATTTTGGGCCCTTTGGTTCTAAGCTAACGTTACTTGAATGAGGCTTTATAGTGCAATTTTGGAGAAACAATTTGTGCTATAGTTCATATTTATCATGTATGTGATTCATTCAAAAGTAACTTAATATGGCGGTGTATAAGAAATGAAGAATGACACTCAATCCAGAAATGTGGCCCAACATTTATTATTTGAAAAGGAATAATCTCTATCAGACATTGGCTGCATAACCTGATAGTAGGATGAATTAGTTAATGTTGTCTTTTTGTGGCATTTGTTGACAATAAGACCAACATAGGATATCACCAGACTTATGTTTCATTTAGTAACACGGAGTAAATAGTCCCATGACACTGCTACTTAGTTTCAGCCTCTTCTTTCACAACCTCAACTCTCTGTCACTGGACCAGCTGTCTCCAGGCCTGAGAGGCTCCTGTGTCCCCGTTAGTATCATCTGTCAGTCTTCCCTCCCCGAGTCTCAGCAGTGAAGCAACACTTTGCTCAAGCCCACGGAAGCTCCTGGATACCGCCTCCTTAATTATGATAAATAATGAAAAAGACTAACCACAATTCTATAAAAATAGATTAAATATGGGTAAAAAAATTCTGGATGCACATATTTTCACTGTTGGCATTATAGTCTGGGTCTCCCATCTGTTTTTAATTAAGATATAGAACGTGTATTCTCCAGATCTGCTGATATGGTGTTAATGAAAGACCACTGAATTACTGTAATGATTTCGTTTTTTTAACATGGTCGGTATTCTTCTTATCGCCAAATACAGAAACCGACAAGAAGGACACTTGCGGTTATGGTTTTAAAATGAGAGGAAACGGGTGACGGAAACTCCATCATGATCTTTCTTCCCATCAAAGTGCTTTTGTTTTGAAGATAACACTGTACAGTATCCACATACACATTGTTTGGACATAGAGTAGCATGCTAAAAAGTCACAGGTAAAAATATTACATTTTCTAAAGATGGGTCTATATTTCAAAGCTATGTAATGAATGCATTTGATTTTAGGAATGGATACCAATAAAGAAAAAGGGTGCGTCACATAGCGTCAGTGGAAATAAAGGTCTGAATGGAAATGCGGGTAGAGACTGGCCTTCAAATAAATAAGTAAACTTCCCTCCCTCGGGATATCGCTGTGTTCTTGAAGATTTTCCTAAATTGTCCATAGATTGAACAAGTATCTAACACATGATGACGTTCAAAGTGCGTTAGACAATTTTCCAGTCTGTCATCTTGAGATGATATGCAATACAAGTTAAAAAGTAGATGTTATTGTTTACCGGTTATATGGGGCTGAAGCCAGGGGAGGCTGTGTGAGAGATGGTGAGCGCTCGCTCTTTTGCTCCCTGGCCGAGCTTCTCCGCAGAGCGCAGGCCGCCGTACAGCCTCTCCTCCACCGACACAGCCAGCTTGTCTGCCAGGCTGCTCTCTGAAAGAATGGCTTGACTGCTGTTGTTGTTTCTGTTGACGGCTCTGGGATCCATGTGGCTCGTCTGTGTCGTCACCGTGCTCACAGACTGGCTAGTTGTGCTTTCTGTGCCTTTTCTTGTAGAGGCCTGGTTGCCCTCAGCAGTCGACTCACAGCGGCTCTCTGTCACATCAGTGCCTTCTGAGGTTGTATGGGCTTTACTCACTGCATCGTCCCCTGCGGCTCCTTCACTGGACAGATCTTTGTTCTCTGTGCTCTCATTCGCTGCTTCCTCACAGGCTGCAACCTCGCTGGCTTCTTCATCAGCGGCGCTCGCAATGCGTGAGAGTGTGCTGTGATACCTCATGTCCAGAGGGTAACTGGCACTGTCACCTCTCCTCAGTGGAGTGAACCTCTGCCTCTCCAAAGATGGGGAGTACCTACCCCCAGCGCCTGACCCTGGGTCGCTATATTGCTTGTGTCTCTGCCACTGTTTGCGGAGGTGAACTCTGGACCGGTGCCTGGAGCGCAGCGGAGAATCCTGCTGGTCAAAGCGCGGATCATGGCGGAGGAACTCGTTGAAAAGAGCATCCGTCTTCTCGTCAATGCTGTAGTCGCGGCGGCGGAGTCGAGGTTTGTGAGGACTAGAGGATTGTGGGATCTGCTTGATCAGCGGAGACATTAACTGGGGTTGTGATTCTGAAAGTTTCTGAGGGTGAAGTGATTTCAAAAGCTGAGATGGTTCTTGAAGGGTGACCGACTGCTTTCGAGTTTGAGATCTCGCCTTTCGTTTCCCCTCTGTCTCCGCTCTGTTGGCCGCATCATCCTCCAGCTCCTCCTGGAACAGCCTGGCCTCGATGCTCTCGCACACTGAGCCTTTCCTCCCCGAGTTGGTGAAGAACAACCTTCTCTCAGATGCCGTCTTCCCTCTAGAAGTTCCCGGAGTCCCAAACAAGCGCATTTCCTCAGGGTGTCTTGATGGTGCTTCAATGGAAGTGTAACCGCTGTCCATCTGGAGGAGCTTCCGGTTCCCTGCCTCGCTCTCTCCTCCAGCTCCACTCCCCACCTCACTGTCCCCACCTGACGCTCCTCGGATCCCACCCTCCATCATCCCTCTGTCCCCTTCTCCCTCATGCTCATCGTCCAGGTCTTGGGACAAGCAGCTGTCCAGGCCATAGGGAGCTCCTGCACCCCCAAAGGACGAGCTGCTGTCGGCATCACTGCGGATCGACTCCCGGTCTGTGCTGCTGTGGTCTGAGGAGGCGTATTGTTCTAGAGAGGCTCGCAGGCTCCAAATGTCTCTGTACAGGGAGGGAGGCGCCTCCGAGCTCTCCTGGCGAATCATGAAGGAAATGGATGAGCCCGAGTCGGTCCTTCGTCTGGCCTCAGCTCCAAACACCATCTCATCTCCGTCATCAACCTCGGCCTCGCTCTTCTTCCTCACATCTGATGTCTTTGTGTCTTTAGTTGCTCCAAACATGTCTTCAGATCGTCCCTGTACAGCAGCTCCTGCACCAAACAAGTCATCTACCGATTCTTGTTCGTCCCCTGCTGCTTCTGTCTTGTCCCCTGCTGCTTCTGTCTCTATAACCGCACCAAACTGTGTTTCTTCTTCTGTCCCATTCACTGTGGTCTCCTCTTGCCTCGGCGCGTAACTCTCATTTGTTTGCGAACAGAGATCCTCTCTTCTGCCGCTGCTGCCACCTACCTCCACCATGTCCTCCAGTGTTACCCTGTATAGATGAACAACAGCCCTTTAATTAATGACGCTGGGAATGTAGAAGTGCATGTTATTGGATTACAGGAAGGCATGTACCTGCTGAGGAAGACCGAGGACATGGGTGCTGTGTCGGAATGAGACAGAGACTCTGCAGAGAGGGACTGGAGACCACTGGTCTGGATAGGGGACTGTGGGAAAGAGTCCATGACCTCGTCTCTGAGAGATGAAGAGTCGTTTTCGGTGTGATCCGTGGTTTCACTTGCTGCTCTCTGCCTCTGGAAGGGCCTTCTCTTGGGCGATCCTGGTAGAAATTCACATACAAAATAGTGACGTTTTTCACAATTTCTTTATCAAAGCTACTTTTGAAGACATAATCAACAAATGTAAGCTACTGATTGATTTATAACATGTATTCAAACCTTTGGCATCCAGGCTGGCAGCCCGGTGACTGCTGTCAAACTTCCACTTCCTGAAGTAGGGCCCTGCTCCCTCCAGACTGGCATGGCGCCGCAGTTTAGAGAAGAAATGCAGAACTGAAGTCTGGCCTGTAGCTTGAGTCAACTCTCCTCTCATCCCCCTTTCGCTCTCAGCCTCTGCCCTGTCCCTGAGAGCCTCCATCTGACAGAAGAGATGAAGGGAGAGGAGGATGGAGAGAGGTGATGAGACATTAAGGAGGGGTTGAGGCAGACAGGCTGAGATGAATGGTGACTGGCAGAGGCAAATCCCACGGGGGACAGCAGTTTGTCATGTTGTCACTCAGCTGCAGTGAAGACTGATGTCACAGTGCATCAGTAGGTCTGAGCCTGTGGCAGCTGCTTTTCACAACTCTATTTGTCCACGATACAAGCGGATCAATCCTCACTGAGGAATCAACCTGTGTGTGCCCGGCCAATAAATGCATGCTGTTAGAAAACTGTGAAATCAACGCAAATTGGTCATTTTAATCTATGTATTAGTAGCCTACAGTTGAAAATAAGACTCATAGCTAAATCTGGCAAATGTACATAGTGGACTCGAGTGCTCATGTTAATATGTGCATTGTCCCTACTTAAATAAATAAACAAGTGCCCAGGATGAAAATACTGATTTTGACTAAGAACAAAAAAACATAAAATCACTCGGTATGTCAACCCATGATGAAGAAGCAATAAAGACTCAACAGCTCGTGGCTCTGTGAGGTTATACTTGGCCACAGCGTCACTGAGAACCACCCTTGAGCTGATCAGGACCAACTTAGTCAACATTGCTCTCCGAAGAGTGATGCCGCTAGCGTGCTGAAAAATGTACGTGTCTGATAAAATAACTATTTCATAACTGTCAATTAAAAGTGAGAACAATTAGAAACTCACTGTCTGGGAATGTGTGTGCAGTGCTTTCATGGCGGATGGTACCTGTCTGAGGCTCTGGTCCAGGATGGTGGAGTGGTGCGGGTCTCCTGGAAGACCTCCACTGGGGCTCTGTCCCACCCAGTCGGGGACTCTCCTCTCATTGGGCTGGAGGAAAAGAAATCAATGCAGGTTAGAGAGGAGAAAATAAACCTGGTTTGTTTTGAGACAAATCACTGCCAGTAAAGTCACCTGGTAGATGGCGAGGGGCAGTTTGGGGGATGCGGTCTCATTGATGTTGACGGTGCTGCTTTCCGTGGAGTCACACTCCATGATGGTGAGGATCTTCAGGTCACATGGTGACGGAGGCAGGTGGAGGTGAGTCAGCCGGGCCTTCTTCAGGTGGTGGAAGTCTCCCTCTGTCAGAGTGTATCTGTAACAGAGTCAACAAATCTTCTCATCTGCTTCCAGCTCATCAAAATATGAATGTATCGTCTGTTATACTGTACCTGCGTCCTTTGTCCTGGGTCGTCTTCTCCTGTTCGTAAAGTGCAGATTCATTAAAGGAGACTCTGCGGCCAGTGGACCCAGTGGAGACAAATCGCTCCGACTCCCCATCGTGACAGCTGGCAGCTGAGAGAGCGTCTGATTCATCCAGATGAATGGTGATCTCTGAGTGACAAAGAGGACAAGGCCGAAGTGAGGGAGAAAAATAGCATTGGTGACGACAGTGGAGGAGAATAGATGTATGTATGAACTTAAGAAAATACACATCTCTGACCTTGGGTGGGCTGAGAATCCTCAGCATAAGTCGTGTTTGTCTTCTCAGGGTCATCGCTCGCTCTGAAAGTGGAAACGATTTTTACTCTTTGTCAGTGATTGAAAAAGCATTCAGCTCTTCAGTAAAAGAACTCCATTATAACTCCAAGTTCTGCATTGACCTAAGTCAAAGTATGTCAAATCAATTGATAGACAGTACTTACATGAAAAACTATAAGTTGAAAATAGTTTAGTTAACTAATCGATTTAACAAGCTAATTATTTCAGCTGTACTTGTGTGTGTGTGAATATATTTATATATGTATGTCACTAACTAACCAAAGCTATCAGATAAATAAACAGCTACTGTTTCCTGTTCAGCACAATGGACAGGAAACTAATCCACTCTGTCACAATCACGTCAGCTGCTGTGATGTTTGCAGAAGAACCGGGCCTGCACCCACCTGGAGTAGCGGCGGCCGCCCATGCAGCAGCAGTGGCAGAAGAGGAGCAGCAGGGAGAGCAGCACCAGCGTCCCCCCCGCAAAAACACTCAGCAGCACCAGCAGCAGCACATAGTTCTCCACCTGGCCCGCTGACACAGGCACATCCTGAAGAAGAGCAGCCAGGGAGAGAGGTTAGGTACATTTAATCAATACAGTACACATGTGGGTTAACCCTACCTAACCCTAACCCTACAAATACTAAAACATACTACATCATTTAATCTCTGAATGAACCAAAGATCAGGTAATCTCTCTGAGTTATTCCCTTTTTTCTAGCATTTTCTCTGCGAATTATTAGTTTTTTAGCATGAATTTTTAATAGTGTATCCCAAAGTTGAGTTTATCTGGCATATACTGGACCAGGTATGTTCTCTCAGCTTGGGTTTAGCATGCTTTGCATTGCAATGAGGCTTCTATGGTCAGCATATCTGCCGGGTATAAAGATAAAGAAATTGCACACCAACCAGTTTTCCATCCTACCCTACCTCTTGTGAGATCAAGGGACTACAACTTTTATGTAGCCTGAAATAAATAAAGATTTACCTTAAAACTTTAAAATAGAACTCAGCATTTCTTTGCTGACAGGAATATAAATCAAATACTGACAGAAAAAAATAAAAACCTGTGTCACCAAATACCAGTCTTCCAAACCTATCTAGCTCAAACCCTGGTACTCTCTGTAGTGTGTCCTGTTTAGGTTGCACAACATCAATTGAATTCCCATTGCTTGTGTTTATTGGTGGAGCTCGTAACTCATTCCTTTAATAGCACAATAAAGGAGAGGCTTACATATCTCTGTTGTCATGTTTAGTGTGTTGCTGGCTGTGTTAGTCCTGCTGGGACAATAATTGATTCTTCTCCCTTTGAGTTTCGCAGCATTGAGGAATCTCTTTGTCGCATTACGCTGCCAGCTAAGCGCTATAATATTTAATAAGAAGTGGAATTAACACTGAAAGACTTTCTTAAGTAACTGCCTCTTCACAGTCATTCTTACGCACAGACACACACTTTCTACTCTTTCTGATTAATACCCTCAGTCTTGGCTGAGTGAGCTTGAGGATGCTAATCGAAACGTCAGCGAGACTCTTAATTCAATCTCCTAGCTCTTCTCAATGAGGGGGAAACGAAGCCTCCGCAGGCTAAAAATGGAAATCGGAGGAGGACTGAGGACGCTCATGAGCAATCCCCACACCAGACTTTCCTGCCTCTTCTTCCGATGTCAGTTTCGAAAGAGGGAAAATAATTGGGCTCTTTTCACCGTCACAAATGGAATATTCATCTATTGCAACATTTAGAGTTACATAAGATACCAAAATGTAAAAAGGCTGTCATTGCGCATGGATTTAAAGGAAACTGAGTACTGGAAAAACTCCTCACTGAGCACACACAGACCTTTAGATGAAGGCCTCACAGGAGCAAGGAGGTCTTTACAGCAACAATCCAAAGCCTGCTGCTGACTGGACGAACAGACACTGCAACCCCTCCTCCTTAATACTCATTAATCCGGGTATACAGAGTACAGAAAATACAAATTATATTTGTATGTAATTCTTTCCTGTTTTCAATACAAACTCCAAACATATTCAATTTAAAGCAGGATATCCTCATAACTGAAGAAGATGCAAATAGAGAGGTTGACATTTTAACTGAAAAGATAATTTTCTGGCTATTGACTAAAGGAGGTGTACTACAAAACTAAAGGGCTAAATAGCAAGATGGCTGGTTTCATAGCGACTCTGCTGCTTTCCCTGTAAATGATAAAGGTATTTCTGTAAAAACAAAGCATCAATCAATCTTTGTCAACCTCAATCTCAATCCAACAGTGAGAAAGTCGCTACGCAGAAGAGGGAGTGCTGGCGAACAGAAGAAGCTGTCATTTTGTACTAATAAAACCAGAAAGGGTTGGTGATTATGTGCATCGGAGCAAATGAAAACATCCTTTTTATCCTCTTTTCATTCAACCTCGAACCTGCTTCAGGCCTGAACATGTTTAACTAAGTCCATGACGCACGCACGCACGCCCACTTAGATATTTGTACAGCCATTAGAAGTGGCTATGGCCTACATTTAGCTGAAGCCTATGGGGAGATTCAGAATGATGTGTATGAAACTGTGTGTGTGTGTGCGTCTATGTAAGAATAACAGCTCCATCACGGCACACCTTGATACACTCACAGCACACACACATGGTTTGTCAGAGTGTCTGTAGCCTAATGAAATCTGCTGTTTTTACAAGCTCAGCCAAACATGAAGAACAACACAATCAATCAGCGGGAGCAGCAAAGCCTCTCGCCAGTCTTTATGCCATGTTTTTCACACACACTGTTGAGTCAAACAACAGTCAATTGTCTCTCCCCACAGACAACCTTAACTGTCCGATAATCACCGTCGCTGGATCAGATTCCCCCCCCACACTCTGTTTCTGAGTCAAATCCTCTTTAGATGCAGATCCAGCTATCCCCCACTACAGCTTCACCTGGATGTGTAATACCTGTTACTAGAGCCATGGGTGGTGTTAAATCGCTGTGTCTACCTGCTGTGGGCTGCTTTTGGCTGAGGTTCCATATCCATGATGTGCTGTTGACGAGTTGTGGTTTGGACACCAGCTAGTGTGTGTGTGGTGTGTGTGTAGTGTGTGTTGATAGTAGTACTCACAGTGGAGTTCTCAGTCAGACTTGTCAGAAAAGGCAAATCATTGCTCATGGTCCAGGTCAGCGTGAGTGAACCCTGCAGAGGATGGAGAAGGTGAAGTCAGACAGAGCTGCTGCTTCTTTCTAGATAACATTACTATTTATGTTGTTTCAGGAAAGGCAGCAGATTTATGTTCTTATTGCCATTCCTCTTGGGTGTTTTGAAATTCCTTGCAACAGCCCTGACTAGGGCCATGTTTGTTATTAAGTTAGATGATTTGCAAGAGGCAGGGGCTACATTTATTTTTATTTAATTGAATCATTTATTTAGCAGGGACAATGCACATTAATGAGCACTTAAAACAAAAAAATGCAATTTTAACTTGGAGCTAATTTCCATCCGCAGTCCCTCACATAAAACATTTAAGAACATGACAATTACACACATAGCAAAAACAAATACATGATGTGCAAAAGAGCAAGAGCAGCATACACGAGTATTTACCACATGGCAGTACAATCTAGCAGCAACGACATATAAAGTGCAAGAGATGATACAAGAGATACCTAAAGTGCAAGAGTTACCCCTGTGTTAAAGTGCATTTAGCTGTACTTGCACATCTGTTTGTTTCTCAACCATTCTTTGAGTTGATCTTCAAAACTATTGAGAGTGGGACAATCCTGTATCTGAGTTGGGAGGCTATTCCACAATGAGCTGCCTTTAACGGATCGGACATTTTGTCCAAAAGTGGTCCGTCTACGGTGGCCAGTCCATGTAAACATTTATAAAAAAAGCACATACTTTTAAAAGACTTAAAATTGTCAAAACTCAAGAAATTGTGTTTTTCAAGGATGGACAGGAAGTGGTCGTATGAATATGGCTTTCTGTCAAACACCTTGATAGCTCTCTTGTATAGCTGTTCTATCGGTTTCAGGTTTGTGGCACAAGCAAACGACCAGTTTGTAAAACAGTATTCAATGTAGAATCATGCAGTGGAAGTACTTTAAGTTTCATTAACCATTCCTTACCCACCTCTTTCAAACTCCAAAAGTTGTAATGATAGCTTTCTGTTACTATTTGGATGTCATCAGAAGAACAAAATGAAAATATTCTAAAACTCTTTTGACTGGCTGAACAGTACTCCTAAAGAAGATATACTGATTGTCTTCCTTACATTGGTGTACTGCCCCTTTAACATACCAAAGTCATGGTTATTATTGAAAGATGATTGAATGAGCCTCCTTTTGTTAGCCATTTTCTTTTGGGAAGTCAATATAATGCATGTTGATCATCGCTTCACATCAAAAACGAGACACACCAAAATCAATAAGAGACATAATATTACCACAAATAGATGCAAAATTACCACAGAGGTTGAGATACCAGAGAACTAAAAATAGCCACATAATTACCAAATAGAGATGCAAAACTATCAAAAAGACGTGTCCTTGAATGTGTGGGTCTTGTTCGTATGAAGGAGGTGGGAGCACTTTTCCCAGGGTCCCATTGTCTCATAATCACCCAAAGTTACATAAACTCTTGTCCTGAATGAGTTACACACACACACACACACACACACACACACACACACACACACACACACACACACACGAAATAACCGAGAATATCTCAGCTCAGTCTTTACACTTTCTGTAAAATGAGACTGTGAGACGGAGTTGTTTGGTAAAAGGAGGTGAAAGCCTTCGGTTTATAATCACTTGCACAAAGCGCAGCTTGTGTAACATCAGCCCGTGATTGCATTCCTTACACAGACCGGTAACACTGCCGCACATTCCCTCTCCATGTGAGAGTCATATTGTATGTAATATCTCATAGAAACCAACAGCTAAAGGTAACAAGGACGAGGATGAAGCTCTGAATAGCACACCAACAATAGAGACCCACACACACTAAGACATCATGTTGAATGTTGGTACTTTCACCCTTGTTTAGCAACAGAACATGAACGTTTAAAATATGGTTGTTGTTGTAATCAGATAGTAAGGCATGTTCCTTATTAACAAACAATTATACACATTCCTATGAAGACATATTTACCATTATTACAGCTTTTACAACTATTTTTAAGGCTTCATATTTACTCATTCTATCCCAGCCGACATGATTCGGGACTTAAAAGTAAAGTGAATTTTTAATAAATGATTTCAGACAGCTGTAGCCTTAAAACAATTCTGCTTGATTTTCTTTTTTTAGACACGGCCATAGTTTCCCCTCGAGACAGATGTTGTGAAAACATCTGTCTTCTTTCTGCAGTCTGAATATCAAACAGTATAATGGATAGAGGCACCTAGCATAAGACTAAAAATGGTCTCTTTCATGAAATGGTACAAGGTCTCATTTGTAATGTTCTTTCTTGTTACAGCTCAATAAAATCACTAAACTTTGGTGAATTAGTGGCTTTAAAAAAAGAATACCTGCAATTAATACAGTTAGTCAGTCATGTCTGTTTCCTTTTATGCATGTCTAACATGAATATAATAAAAACTATATTTACCCATGGTGCGCCACCATAACAAACTCGTGCTGAGAAACCAAACCGTGCTCAAACCCACATACCACAAATATTAGGAGATAATCCATCTAGAAACTGCAGCCATGACATTATAACATCTTAAATATTTCATAGTGTCAGTTTATGACTTATAAGAGAAAATAAAAGGAGAATTGTGTGTTGATTGCATGTTTGGCAAATACATTTTAAGATTATTTTTATTCAATGTTTTTATATTATTATTATTAGGCTATTATTATTGTTATTTTAATATCTGCCCTATTCATTATGTCCTATTCTGAAAAAGAAAAGTGTATCCTTGTTATAATAGGCCTAGGATAAAATAAAAATGAAATGCTAGTGACGTTTACCAACTTGCCTTCTAAGCTTCGCAGACAGGTGGAGAAAAAAGAAACCCGCGTGTGTTTGTGTCTGTGCGTGTGCGTGTTTGCGCGCGCGTTCGTGTCTGCGCGTTCGTGCGTGCGTGTTGTGTGTCATGACATGTTACATCCCCCCACATCATGTCTCTCTTTAGCAGCAGGCAGACAGATGGAGACAGACAGACATCCACATACTTCCATCCCATAAGTGCACAGTGAAAATGCCCGTGGTGTTTACACCCTTTCGAGCAACGTCAGTAGTAAAGTGCATGGCGGGGGGAGGCGGAGGAGGGGACCGGAGGATGAGCTGTGATCTTACGGTGAAACAGGTGGTGTTGCAGCAGCGTCCCTCCGCTCTGCAGACTACAGGGAGCCGCTGCAGCCGCTCAGCAGCAGCAGCCTCAGCATCAGCAGCAGCATCTCCCTCTCTCCTCCGAAAACCCTCCGATCAGGACTGTCCCACATCTCTGCTTCGTGTGTGCTCAGCCTGCGGGGAATAAATCACGACCAGTCACTCAGGAGGAACCCTCATGTGCCAGCCAGTCAACTCTCACTAAATCACTGCGATTAACGAGCTGTGGTCACCTATTTTACATATGTATATATATTTCAAAATAAAAATGCTAGGCTACATATTTCACTGTGATCAAGCCTGTTGGTTCAGGGGAAAAGACCCACACTCACCCGACTGTAGAGTCCGTGTGAAGCGGTGATCCACATGCAGCCTGCTCCCTCTGCATACTTTAATTTGGGCTTCAAATACAGACTGTAGTTATGAATGAAACCTCACGCGATTAGACACACCCACCGCCCTCTCCCTACGCACCACGTGACCAGCAGTGATGATGATGCTGGTGATGATGAGAGATGGAGGAGAGAAACTCATTCACAGCAGATGCCCATCAATGGCAGCTGCTGACGGAGCGATTGGTTGGTTGTCTAGTTGATTAATGTTGCATAGATTCAGACATTTTATTCAATATTTAACACGTTTACATTTGCTGCGTTCGAGTCTGTCACTGATGCTTTGTTTTACGACACACATGCACGGGGACAGATGGGTGTTGTAGACGTGTTCTGTAATCTCACGTTTTACCACCAGGTGGCAGCGTTGCACGGTTGTTTTCTGGTTGATAAACATAGAGACTACAATGAAGATCCTCATACAGCTTCTTAAATAAAGTTCGAATTTAGTAGAACCCTTCAAAATAAGATAATTTAACACGAATACGAATGTTTCTCTAATGAAATGTGAAAGATATCTCATTTTATTCATTTATATAAACATATAGCCAACTTTTGAGTGATTTGGTAACATGTTCATCGACCTGCACTCCATTGTGTAATGTAATCATTTTTATTAGTCTTATTTAACATACATAAGGTTTTTTGTGTCCTAAATCACTGAACTACATATTTATTAACCATAGTATGCAATCCAATTGTTCCTATAAAATGTAATTAAACTTTTCTTTTTTTTTTTTTGTAATTCCTTTTTAATTTCACGAGTAACCTATCAGTCAATTGCAGTCCAATAGGTTAAATGCATGGATCTCTTTGCTGTTTGCAAAATGAATGATGTCTTAACTTGTTTTACTGATGAAAATTAAGTTAAGTTACACCCAGATATGTATACATTTTTGACGGTTGAATTTTAGATGCTGTCCATTTAGGAATGTAACCACATGGTGTAACTTGAGTGGCCTCTCTTGTCTTGTCAGGCTATTCCTGTACATCTCTGGGACATTTGAACTCTAAGTCTATTTTCCACTTGCCTAAAAGGGTCTCATTAACTCTACTTGCAGTAAAGTCTCTTCAAATATTTGGAACATAAACACACCAAATGGTTTTCAAGGACTTTTTTCATACACTTTTTTTTTCATACACTGGAAGAAAAAACTGTTCCCACTGTATGCACAATCTCTGAGAAGATATAGCCTTTGGACCACTACATACAATTCAAAAAGATATGTTAAATGGATTGGCATTATAGGTTTAATACTATTTACTACACTACAATACTGCAAAACAAGTCTAGTTGATCAATACTGAGAACAAAACAGGATCTAAAACCTATTGTATTGGAAAGTATACTAAATGTTGTAGCTAAATGGAGACGATTTGGTTTTTTAGATTATTTTACACACGTCTCTTAGCATATACTGTCAAACCTTATTTTGTGTAAATGTCACTAAGATGTGACTTTGAATTGTTGTACTGCAATTTACAAATGTACACTGATTCAACTAATAGGACTTCTTTGGTCAATTAATTTCTATACGTTCAGTGAACGTCCATGGATAGGTATGTTTGTAGTCCTACATAAGAGAATAAAACAGGAATTGCTCTGAAATATCTTTTAAAGTTATTTTTGAAACGTCTTGGCCACAAGCAAAACAAATCAAGCCTCTTAAAGGTGATATAATGGCACAATAACAATTGTGGAAATCCCACCACTTCTATATTCTAAAAAATATATATGTCAAGGTTGATCATTCTCATTGATCAAATTATTCAATTTGCTAATATTAAACTTAAATGCCTAAACAATCTGACTCCTGAAGATCTCAATGACATGGTGATACCTCTTTGTGTTTTAAGATCTGTGTATGGGCAACATTAGTCCATGCTCTATACTTGTTCCAACAAGAATAAGCATTTTATAAATATATAAAAGCATTTGGTGGTTTGCTGTAAAGAGCTAAGACAATGACCAGGAATTCATTTGAAGCTTTTTCCATCCCAATTAAGGATCCAAAGAAATGTAATGAAGATCAGTGAAGAGACATTTTTCTCCACCTGTTTTTATTAATGCAACAGACAATGTTCTCAGTCTATCAATGTAATTCATATTGAAATACTCAGGACAGATTCTTGACGTACAAATGTTTTTGTCTCTGAAATTCCATAGACTGTAAGGTGCAACATACCGGAGGACTGGGACATCTGGGAAATGATGCCAGGAGAGGCTGTGCAGGGGCAAGAGGAATGATGTGTGTGTGCGTGTGTGTGAGATTGTGAGTTGACGTCAGAGCTGCGTCTGTGCATGCTCTGGAGAGCAGGACATCCTGTGGAATTGTTCTCAGCGAGGCCCGAAGAATGTAAAGCAGAAACCTCTCCCTTCTCGTTAGTCTCGGAGAAATGTTGGAGTGGCACGATGACATCTAAATGCTGGAGAGGAATGAGGGCGGGAGAGGCTAAGGGAGGGAGAAGAACAAGATCTTCATTAAAATCTTACTGTGTTCATCAAGTCTCTGAGAAGGTGCAGAGAAAGACTGTAAAACAATTGCGTGTAGGCTTCAGATTAGGCTTCAATTGTTGTTTGATTTTATTAATATGCATGGCTCCCCTTTTTCTAGAGCATAGACTATATATATAAACATCAGAAAAAGCAAGAGATAGAAATGGAAATACTCAGCTATGCAAAGCACAACAGAAGTGTAAAAGAGAATGTTGATATTTGCTTTGCAGTTTTTGTCACTGTACAGGTTTTCAGACAGAAAAGACGCCATGAGGCAAACATGTCTGCAGAGAAATGAGTGTGGGTGTGAGGAAGGGAGGTAGGTAGGTGGTATGGGATAGGAGTGACGCAGGCTGGATAAAGCGGGGGTGTTGTGGGTGTAGCTATTTTTAGCCACTGTGAGGAGACACATATTAGCTGCATTTCTTTGGCTTATCCCAGCTTCCTGCGTCACTTTACTCCTGGCTTGTCTTCTCTCCACTGAGAGTCATGTGACAGGTGCAACCCCGAGATCCAGAGGTGGGACACGAATACTAAGCAGCCGAGGATGAGGAAGACTGCAGAGAACAAAGGGTGGATGCTGTCTGCGAGTGTCTCCTCCCACAGGCTGAACAGTGAGATTATACCGCATCCAGAGATGTGCTTGACATATAGCCCACTGAATTTCCTCTTAACCTGATTGAAATATAAACATATTTTACAATATAAATTATAGATGATGTGTTATTTGGACATCTATTTGCTTAGCTGATCCTAATTAGTACTACAATATATTGTTGTCAACATGTTCAGCTACTAAAATGTCCCAGAAATGTGCAAAAAACATTTTAATCATTACAATTGATAGTGATTATAGATGTCGAGTTATAGTTGTCAAGTTTATAATTCAACTCAATAATTTCAATATCACCCAAAAAATGTGTTTTGTCTTCTTGGGTAATAAAAATTAGGTAAAGTGTGTATGGCTGCACAGATACATGAGTTAGTTTGCAATAACATTAAAGGATTAAAAGAGCGTAAATGGAGAAAACCTATTCAAAATACCACAATAGAGTCGGTCTGTTTTGCTGGTAAAAAGAAGGTAAATATTTTTGACATGAAGACATTCTGTACAAAATGTTGTATCTGCTCTGCAGATTGCATCATTTATGAATGGCAAGTAAGGATGTTGATTGGATGATACAGTTAGACGGGTCTCGAGGTTCTTGCTGATTGGCTGTGTGGTCGAATGGGCGGAGCTTGTAGTGACAAGGGCTGTGGTGGTTTACGCTCGGTGGAGAAGTAGTGCTGCGTCTGTCAGAGCTAGGAAGGGAAACAGTTTCAATCTGGTTAAACCTCTCTGTTATGTGATTTTTTAAATATCCTTTTCACACGGTCCACCAAGGCATGAGGACAAAGAGTTAAAAGAGCAAAACTGTTGCATCTTGCTCAATTCAAGCGAGCAGTCTGGTTTTACATTTGGACCTTTCAAATAAAAAAAGCTTTATGGAGCAGCAGCGGGGCATCTGTAGCTTCACCCCGGGTGGGTCCGCAGGCTGCGGGACTGGGGTCTCCACCGGTCAGCCCACCATGCGTTTGTGCATCACCTCGACCACCGGCAGCCCGGTGGAGCTCACTGTGCCCCTGGGAGAGACTGTGGAGGGACTGAGGACTCACATCTCCCATAAACTTAGACTGGAGACTAACAGAATCGTCCTTCTGTTTAGAGACAGGTGAGTAATTTCTCATGTTGAATAAAAGACATGTTTCTCCGTCAGTTCTCTTTGGTATTGTGTATGCTGATTGTATATTGCATGCTGACTGTTTAATGTGTATATGGCAGGCAGCTGACTGCAGGCAAACTGGTGGACCTGGGTGTAGCAGATGGAAGCAAACTGACCCTGGTCCCTGCCATTGAGGCTGGTTCAGCGGTAAGTAGGCCGGTGTACATCTCACCAGTGGAGGAAAACTAAGTACACATTATAGAGTATGGTACTCAAGTAAAATATTAAGGTACTTTACAGCTATATTTATTTTCTGTTACTTTGCATTTCTACTTCATTTCAACTCAAGATTGGTAAATGTTCCTGTTGTCTGCTCTACATATTAAGTTACTTTGCAAATTAAGATTAACAATATAATTGACAGATACATTATGTATTAAGATAAGACTTGATTGATCCCTTTCACAAGCTACTTTTATTATCTAAAGAAAAAGGCTATATAAAAAATTCACAAATGCACAAACTGCAACATTAAATCACTGCTTCTTACACTATGGAGAAACACACTGCACTTACTTCATGAACACATTTAATCACACTTCATTTAGTGATGTCATGTTGATATTTGTGTACTGCAGTGCTCCACTGCCAGAGCTGAGAGAACCATAATGGACGTCTTGGAAAGTTTACCAGAAATCAAGGTAAGATAAACGTATTTTCAATGCCATTCTGTTATCAACACTTGTTGAATGCATGAATGAGGCGTTTTCTTCAAAGAACTCATTCTGAGGAAGTGAAGCAGCATGGTTTTAATTGAACAGCTGTATGATTGAGCTGTCAGGGGAAAAGAAAAGCCTACACATTCTTGTTTTAATGTTTCAAGGATGACATGCATACACATGCAAACATCCTTAACAAAGGCATTTCACACCTGATTACTGACAGTCATACAGAATCCTCCCCACACACAAACATTTGAAGACATGTAATTCAATATTTCCATGTAGACTGAAATGTTCATAAAAACAAAGTGAGTTCAGGAGGCTGTGCTGTTAACAGATACACCATGCTGCTCTTCTGTTTTGTTTCTGACAAAGTCGTTTCCTTGCTGTTGCCACAGTATACATGAGTGCCAGCAAAACCTTAAAGATTGTACATTTATCTCTGAAGTAACTTTTTCTATCCTGCAGATCAGTGACTTCCTGTCTGGGCGCTCGCCTCTGACCATCAACCTGGGAGTCGGAGCCCAAACGATGTATGTGCAGCTCCAGCTTACTGCACAGAACGTGGCCGATCTGAGAGCTGGGGGAAGCAGTGAGCTTCAAACTGACCTGCCTGCCGCCACCATGACGAGCCCCCCTAACCCCTGCACCAATACCCCAGGATCCACCTCACCTGTTTCCCAAACATCAAAGTCTTCTGTCTCCATGTCCTCGATCCAACTGAGCTCTCAAAGACACACAACGTCCTTTAATTCAGCAGCTCCCCCCTCCCACTCCCTCACCACAGCTCCTCCACATGAGGCCTTTACTCCCCGCTCAACACACACATCTCCTTTTGTTCTTTCAACCCCTTCTTTGCCTTCTGGTTGTCCACATCCCAGCTGTCCAGCACCAACAGCCACACCGGTCTGTCCTCCTGCTCCAACCGGCTCCATCCCTGGACCCCACAGCCCAGCGCCAGCCTCCACCTTCACAGAGGTTAGCTCTATAAGTCTACTGCTTTAAATATGTGCTTGTCATTATCTTTAAATCATGTGATTGTGTATTACCATATGTCGATACCTGATTTCAATGCAATATAATTAAATCGTAGGAAGAGATCATAATCAAGTTTTGCCCTGCCCTTATTACAATGCTTAGTCATAGTTTCACCACTATGCCATAACAAGCTGTTCCAAATATGGTCTTTTTAACAGTTATAGTTTTTACCCCTAGTAATGGATGGTAAAAAACATGTGTTCTTTCTGTTTTACAGAGTAATGTTCATGCCTCATCCACGTCAGAGCTGTGTAAGCAACCAGGAGCTGTCATAGAAAGTCTTGTGAGCCACTCTCCAGGTGTCTTCTCCGGGACTTTTTCTGGTAAGTGAGTGAGTTAACATAACAGCGCAATCATTTTCCATTATTTTAATTGAGATAGACAGAGAATAATATCGTATAAATCCCCAAAGGGAAAAGTGTCACAGAAGTGCTGATAGGCCTATAATTGAAATCCCAATTATATACAATAACTAAACATAGACAATAAATTAACTTAATTGTATACATTAACCATGAGACTAAAGATAGGGAATACTCTTTAGTTATATAAACTGTACAATGATAGTGTTATTTTGTATCCTACATTATTACTATAAGTCAAATATATAATCTTGTATCCTGCAAGGTACAGAACTGTCCTTCGATATAAAAACACAATTAATTTCAAGGAGGGCAGAAATGTAAAAGTTTTGTAATATTAGCTCAATTGTGTTTTCTGGGCGTTCAACTAACAATTATATTCTTTAATTGAGGTATCTGCAAAAGCTGTTATTGATGAGCTGATTAATAACTTGCTTATGAAATAGTAAAATGATTATAATAGCCCAAGAAGAAGTGTTCAGATTGCTTACTTCATTTGACCAGCTATTTAAAATATCTTCTATTTTATGAAAAAGATGAGCAGCTAGTTATTACATTTGAGCAGCTGGAAGAGTAAACAGATAGTTTTTGTTGGCCTAAACATTACTATACCAATTATTTGAGTATTATATTGCTTTATCTTAATCCACTATTGTTATTGATGCAGATCCAATGTGTGCAGTTTTCTTATTCTCACTTGGTATCGAGCGATAGAACTATTAACGAAGCACTTTTATACTAATAAAGGACTGGCTTTTCTAAAGCCAGTTGAGTAGCACTTGAAATGTTTTTGCTCTATGAAACCTGATGTACTTATATGATTCTATTTTCTTCAAGTTGTATTTTGTTGGACGAACGCACTTATTGTAAGTCGCTTTGGATAAAAGCGTCAGCTAAATGCAATGTAATGTAATGTAATGTAATGTAATGTAATGTATCCCATCAGGCTCTCTGGCCCCTTGCAGTCAGACCGGCATCAGCCATTCTCGACGAGGCTTTGGCATCATTCTCCAGATCCTCCAAGACCTCCTCAGAGCGGCCTTTCTCCACCAGGGGGCTCAACCTGCCCCTCCTCATCTCCGCTGTCCTAATATGAACCCTCCTTTCGGCCCACTGCTCACAGCAGAGCAGCCAAGCAAAGCAAAAAGCAAAACACTGGTCACCCAGAGGGCAGAGCACAGTAAAACCCAAGGTGATCATATGATATTATACACTTGAATACTGCATGATTTGCTGGAGGCTGCATTCATAAATACATCCCCTTTTATCCATCTATGCCTGCTACTTGATGTTATTCCCTTTATCTCTGCCACATATTTCCATTACTTTGCTTTATTTTTTTATTTATTCTCCGTTGTACTAAAATATATTACCTGAAGATATACCGACCAGGAATATATGTAAAAGAACGACAAAGACAGATTAAAAGAGACATAAAGCAACTACAAAAATTGCAAAACAACCCTCAAATTAGCACAATAAGAGGGCAGTTCAACCACATAGGCACACAATACAATCAACTAAATTGTCCACTAAGGGGCATAAAAGACCAAAAGAAACACAACATGACTATAAATAAATACAGAACAACTACAAAGAGACACAAAATTACTACCTAGAGACACAATATGACCAAAAAAGGTACAAAATGATCGAGATAAGAGGCACATGTACCTGGGTATACAAAAATGACCTAAAGAGACACACAAAGAAGAGCCATTATTAATCCTGCTTCTATTGCTTTTGTAAGAGAGATGGGCCTTTGCCTGTCTGTCCCATGGTCTGCCCCCAGGGGCCCATTGTCTCATAGTTCAGCCATGCATGCTTTATAATTAATTTCCACTGGGAGTCAGTGTATACAGCACTCTCCTCTTTACTCTTCTACAACTCAAACTCAAATATCCTGCATATACATAGATGTAATTATTTACACCAGAACATACCAACCAATAACGTTCTCATTGTGCAGCATGTCTAACAAATTGTTATTCCCCCCTATTGCAGGTGAGGAGAGTCCCCCCTCATGCTCGTCCACACACGAGAATCAAACATTGCATTGTAAGCTGGAGCACCTGCAGCACTTGATGCTTCAGAGGCGTCTTCGCAGGCGGACTCGCAGGAACTCGCAGACGTCTCACCCATACCAGCACCGTCACCATCGTCCCTAGTCTCCTGCAGGGAAGATATCCTCTCACTGTGATCGCTGTGGCAGCTTTCTGGTGTCAAAAGAAGCCAATCTGTAGACCAAAGCTGACCTCTGAACTTGTGGACTTGTTTAAGAGCAGCAGACTGAACGTTGTCGCTATTTTTACACTCTGAGCAGTTCTAAAGAATGTATTTCCAAAATGTCTGTGGAGCATGACTCCTGTGTTGTCCCTGTGCCGAGTATTCATCTGAGTCTGTCCTTCACTGACATCGCTCTCATTGTCAAGAAAGGTTATAATATACATTTGGGTGTTTGTACAAAGCGTACTATGTGTTTGTTTATTTCAATGCCTTAAATGTCCATGTCTTGAATGTAAACTCTATGTTTGGTTCTGTGCCGAGGATGTTCCTCTTAAATGTTTTACTTATGCAATATATAAAGTGTAAACACAAAGAAGGGAAAAGAAGAATAAAGAAAAACCTTCAAAACAAAGAGTTGTCTTTGTCAAGCCCACTTTTGAGGATGTGTGCTGACTAAAACGTTCTGCACACATGACTGCGATTGCTGATGTAAAACAGGGTTGGTTGTGTGTGAGGCCTGCAGAAATGGGTGATCCTATTGGGCCAAAAACCCCAAAACACAAATGAAATCAGAATAAAAAAGAGAACTAGACCAAAGAGCGACTCTGAAGGTCATGACCAAATCCCCCCCACACACAAAGGGGAAGAATCATCTGGCTGTAGACCTGAATGTAAATCACAGCAGGTTTGATAAGGACAGTTACGCCACACTCCTTTCCGATTCAGAATGAACCCCCAACCTGCACTCAGGTATGTGAACGGTTCTTCTCTTCCGACATCAACGACTCCACTGCAGGGGGTCAGTGTTTTATCTTTCCTTAAACTGCTTTGTTGAAGTACATTGAGAGCAACTATCTTAAAAGCTGTGTCAAACTCCTTGTGTACACACACTCAATCAAACAAATAGTTTTAGTGAACAGTGACTGCTTTAATGTTGACATGGGTGCACATACTATCGACTGATGAAATAACATAAGATCATATTACTTCACAAAAATCAGAGAATGAACAATATATTTAAAAGAAACATGGAATAAGTTACTAAAATCTGCCTACCAACATCAAACAGCTCACTATGAACGTGTTATATCGTGTTTGCTTTATCACACATAATCAGGTTCATACAAACAAAACACCAAACCATTCAAAAATGTAGATCTTTATATATTGAAATTAGTGCTGTCAAAATTATCGCGTTAACGGCGGTAATTAATTTTTTGAATTAATTGCGTTAAAATATTTAACGCATTTAACGCATGTGCAGAATGGCCCGCCCCATACATGCCACCAGTGGCAGCGCCAGGGTATGGCTGGAGTAGGCTACACCCATACCATTTGGCTTAGCCCCACCATGAAAAATGATGTTAAAGTAAGCAAAATAAAGTCTGCCAACTCGCGCGGAGTAAATTGCACAGACAGCAGTTAGTAAGATTGATTTCAGTAGCCACGGTTTTTAAAACTTTTGTCACGTAGTGATCTTCTTCTCAATAGAACATCTTTGATAACGGCGTGGTGTTGTTGCAGGAAGTCCCGACGGAGAATACTTTTGCTGTAGTACAGGGGTGCACATAACTGGTACGCAGGTTATGTGCGTAATCTCTCTGATATGCGTACCGTCACTTGTGTCACAAAGCGCATTTGCGTACCGACGTACTTGTGAAGCTTTTCCAGAAGGCGGTTAGATCACCGGACGACAGAGTCGGTCTCCGTGTGCACAGACAGGGCTGCTGTTAACGTCGGTCTGTACAACGGAATTGTGCCAAAACTACGCCAACCGGCTACGGAGGGAGACTCCCCTCCCCTCCCCTCCCACTGGAGAACTGCGCTAAAACAGCTGATCACAACGTTCACACTCTGTGGTCACGAAGTACTCCACTAGCCGCCGCCCCCCCCCCCCCCGTCGACTTTCCTGAAGTACTCCCCCGTTGATAGAAATCAACACGTAATGAATTAAGACCCCACGGTTTGATGATTGATAGGTGTGTGGGTTGTCTCTCATTTTGACACGCAGAAAAATGTTATAATAAACATAGATACTGTATGTTAAATGGATATATCCGCCTTCTTTCATTTATCTTTCCATTCCCACAACAATATGCATAAATAAATGGCATATTTTGGACATAGTTCGAATGGTGATTAATCATGATTAATACATTTTTAAGCTGTGATTAATCTGATTAAAGATTTTAATCGTTTGACAGCCCTAATTGAAATATGTTTTTACCACAAGTAAAATGTATGACTATATATAACTAATACATATATTTATAACCTATTGGATCTTCTGACTGCTGTTGAGAGGAAGCAACTATACAGATAAATAAAAATGCCAGCTCAATATTTCACACACTATTAATGTTGCCACTTCCTACCTTATTACTTTAATATACATGTTAACTTACGTTTTCTAACGCTGCTAATTATTTTATTAATATGTGCTTGCCTCTTTCTTTTATATGTTACTCTTCTACTCTACTAATCTTATACTAACTTTTTAGATTGCTGACTCCTGTTATATAAATAAATATACAGTCAATGGTTATATTTGGATTGGCCTGGATGTCCCCACCGGTAGGTAGGGGGCGGTATGGGCCCTGCAGGTCTCATGGTGCTGCAGAAGAAGACTCAGCGCTCAGTACAGCTGAGCTCCCTCCTCCTCCCTCATTCGACCTGCAGCCCGTTCAGCATTCACTTGTCCCTGCTACTGAAAGGGTAATTGCTATTTCAATATAGTTAATGACATGTTTTCACGGTGAATTTACTTCGCAAATGTTGCATTCACTAGGCATAACTTACTTTTGATATATGCTCTATTAAATCGAATGCATTGCCAGCACAAGCTTGTCAAACAGTTTAAAATGTATTGTATCGAGTTGATTTAGGTTGGAATACAGGTGAACATCGGTATTAGGACTAATGTTTTGGTTTAACTCGCTAACAAGTTATGTAAGATATTGTGGCCTGTCACCGCATTCCGAGCTGTCAGTTGACAGAAGTGGGGCTTCAGCTCCGCGATACAAAATGGCGCCGAGAGTGAAAGTGCTGGCTCCCTAATACTATCACATAAGGGCCAACACGGTCAGGCGCCTGCGGCCTAGCTAGGAAAACAACTATAAATGGTGGCCGTGCGTTACATTTGAGAACATGCACAATAAAATGTCATGATTAGCGTGTGTACGGTTAATTGGGACTTATTGTATTGTTTGACACCAAGAATATCGTTTTGTGGTTAGGGTTTGCCGATTACTTACTTTCGTTTTGCCTTAGCAGACAATATTTGCCAATGTTGGAAATTAGTTTTTAATGTGTAAATATTAACGTTTTTTTTTTTTTTTTTAAAGATGTCGGACGAAGGTAAATTGTTCATCGGAGGACTGAGCTTCGAGACCAACGAGGACTCTCTGGCCGCGGCTTTCGACAAATATGGAACCATCGAAAAAGGTATAGTAGGCTATTTACTGTTACAGTTATACATACTTTTTTTACAGTTATACATATATTTATCTTTTTCAATTATAAATATATGTAATTTTTTTATTTTATTTCAATTCTAGAAAATGTTGTTTTTAAATATTAATTTCCCCCGTTCCTCTTTCCCATTAGTGGATGTGATCAGAGACAAAGAGACAGGGAAGTCTCGCGGTTTCGGCTTCGTGAAATACGATAATTCAGAGGATTCTAAAGATGCACTTGACGGCATGAACGGCAAGGTAAACATAATTTCACAAAATACCCCTGCTATCAACGTGTTTGCAATCAGAATAACTTTATACTCCCACAGTACGAGGCATGCATAACATTTTAAAGATAGAAATTACACAAATTACTTTTTTGGAAAAATACACATCCAGGTGGAAACAAAAGCCGCTTTCACACCGCAGGACTTGCCGTACTTTAGTGCCGGCACTAAAGTACCACGGCACTGAATCCGCCAGGGGGCTAGTGCCAATCGCATTCACACCGCAGTACTTTCCCTGAGGCAAGATTACGCTGACGTCACTTCGTCTTCTTCTTCTCTGGGTTTACTGGCAGGCCGCAAAACCACTTCACGGCAAGTACAAAAAAAAACGAGAGAAGAAGAACTACACGAAGGGGGAGGGGGTATAAAGCCCACCCGCTGTATGAGGCGTTTGTTTACTTTCCGACCTCAGACATGATGGAGTTCATAAGGGTAATAAGGGTAATTTACAAATAAAATACCCCATTATAACAATGGACTTTATCTTTATGTATTTATTATATATTACCCCCTCAGGCTGATTTTGGAAAAGGACATTAACCCTTGTTTGGTGTTTTCCCCTTATTTATCTAAAACAAATGACATGATAAATTACTTGTGTTTATGTGTGTAAGACTTGTGTTTCTGCCCTGCCATTGCTGCACAAGGTTGCAACATTGTAGATACATTCAATCACCGACACCTGTCTGCTCTCACATTCTTCTATTCTGCAAATTTGGGGTGGGACACAATAAATAAAGCTTCGCCAGTTTGTTTGTTTTATTGCACAGTCAAGACATAACAATAACGGCATCACGCTGTTCCAGGTGTGTCGTATGCATGTCAATTGAAGTTAAATAAAAGTGTGAAATGTAAAATAAAGTGTAAGTAGTTTCAAAACAATGTAACAGTGGCAATATATATAACAGCAGACACACCTTAGTGCAGTGGTTCTCAAACTTTTTCTGTCGGGCCCCCCCTTTGGAGAAAAAAAAAAGTCGGGCCCCCCCAACACAAATAGTCAGGCTCAGTGGCGGCGCCAGAGATTTATTTTGGGGGTGCTGTGGGGTAGCTTGACGTTTCATAGAGGGTGCTCAAACATTTAGGGTTTCCCATTAATGTACCGGTCGCTACAGTGGAACTTTCTACTGCAACAATCCCCACGCACATACACTATGTACCCATATGACTGTTACAATGAAGGCTTGACAATCAGCTCACGGCCGCATATAGGTGTAAGCAGGGGTAAAGTGCTATTTTTATAGGTGGTGTGTGTGGATCTCACATAGGGGGGTCCGGGGGCAAGCTCTCCCGGGAAGAATTTTAAATATTGAAGTTAAAAGCATCAATCTGGTGCACTTTGAGAGCAAAATGAAGAGATCTATGGATACCTCTCTCAACACCCATTTGAAACAGAATTGTAAACAGATTTACTATTTCTTTATGGATATTTTACAAATCACTCCCCTTTAATGTCATATAGTATTTCATACCTGTTTTTAATTGATTCTTTTATTTTTTTATAACTATAATGATCATATAAATGTGTGCCTTGGAAATAATTGTTTACATTAATGGTGACCAAAACGTTTGAGACCCACTGAGATCACACTGAGAGAGTCCTTTAGCTCACTGAGTCTCTCAGTCTGACAGGAGAGGACTCTCCTCCACTTTGTTGTTGAAAAAACTCCTTATATCCGTTGGCGTAGCTCGCTAGCACCAGAAGCTAACAACAACAATCTCCGGTGCGCTCTCTCGCTCGCGCACACACACAAAATGGATCGTCACACACACGCACGCACGCACACACACACACAGAGCCGAGCCTTAATGAAACACAGAGACCCAGACGTAATAGTACTGTATCATATTATTTTCAATCAATAATTTTTCAAAATATGATTTTTTTATTTTTTTTAAATCTTTTTTTTATTTTTTTTATAACCATTTTCCCCCCTGGTCTCTCGCGCCCCCCCTGTCATGCCTCTGCGCCCCCCTGGGGGGGCGCGCCCCCCCACTTTGAGAACCACTGCCTTAGTGCAAGTTAGGTGTCAGTATTAAAAAACAGTGGCAATATATATATATATATATATATATATATATATATATATATATATATATATAATAACAATAGAAAATCGTTACCACTCTTATTACTGTGGTCTTTAATTTTTTTATAGTCCTGCCTGAGTTTCTTTATTTTTACCCGGCATCCGTGTGCACTGTGCACGATTCCCAGCTCAAGTAGCTTTTGCGAACATCGCTCAAAACATTTGGAGTTGGGAACTGCTTTCTGTAGAAGCTGCTGCATCCCGTCCTCAGAGTAAATTGCCAGAAGCGCCGACACTTCCTCATCATTCCACCGCTCCGGTGTTGTAGTACGTGTGGTCATAACTGCTTTAAAGTACAAAAAACTACTCGCTCAGGTGTGGATGTGGATTTGTAGCGAGGAAAAAAAATGGCTGCCTAACAAAACAAATTCAGAGTCTAACGGGGCGTGGTTTGCAATTCGCCCAGCCAATAGAAATAGAATAGAAATTGGCACTCTTTTATCACCAGGTTCGTACCACCAGGGACTGAAAATGGCCAAAAGAGTTCCCGGCACTTAGTAGTCCCGGCGTTGTGAACGCAACATTATTGGTACTAACGGAACTAAAGAACCAAAGTACCAGGGAAAGTCCTGCGGTGTGAATGCGGCTAAAGACTATAAGTAATTATAATAAATACATAAAAAATTGGAGAAAGTATTAATCACTTGTCATTTTAATAGTTTTTACTCTCCACACATGTTGGTTTCTTAATATTAACAGTTTTATTAATGATTGCCACATTTGTAAATTGTCATTTCTTTAAAAACATGATTGCCTATGTATTGCAGACTCTGGATGGACGGTGTATTCGCGTGGATGAAGCCGGAAAGGGTGGCCGCACCAGAGGAGGAGGTTACAATTCTGGCCAGAGAGGACAGCGAGGTGGATTCAGCGGGCGTGGGAGAGGTGGACGAGGTTACTCCAGAGGTGGACACTAGTTGTCTGCTTGTCTTTAGCATGTTCTGTTAACTGTTCATGCTTCTGCTCTGTTGGTCAATCATAACCTTGTGTTTCAGGAGGTGGATACAATGGAGACAGGGGCTATGGTGACAGGAGCTACAACGAAAGAAGCTTTAGTGGAGAGGGGCGATTTGGAGGAGGTGGTGGCGGTGGCCAGTACAGCAGGAGCAGCGGTGGCGGATACTCAAGCTACAGAGACAATAGGTAAGAAATAGTTGACTTTAAACCAGTTGAGACAAGACCAATTTGCTTGAACCATAATTAATGTGATTTTATATTAAATCATTTTATTTATTTTCAGGGGTCAGGGGTCATACGGTGAACGCTCCTACCGCGATGGATACGACAGCTATGGTAAGCTTCTTTGATATGACAGTGTCTGTTTATGTACACTTATGTTGGGGCTGTTTAAAGTTTTTTTTTAAATGGCATTTTAACATTAACACTTAACTATTTATTTTTTTATTAATTGGTACAAACATACAATTAGGGATGCTTCGATCGCCAATTGTGGGGCCAATCGCTGGAATCACTATATTCCGATCGAGTGGGTGGGGGATATGGGGATATTCCATTTAAAGTGATGTTTAAAACTCAGTTAATGGGGCTCATTCACTGGCACTTCCACAAACAACAACCAACATAATGATTACATTCAAATGAAGTACATTATTCAAGTTTACATTAACTTTGGATAATAACACGGGAGAAATTAGCGGAAGCACTCTCTTTTCCTCTCCCCCCCCTCTCTCTCCTGACAGCCTCATGCAGCTCACTGATCCAGTAATGAGTGACCCGACAGTGAAGAATAAATATATGTAAAACTAGTTTAGCTAGTTCCAGAGGTAGATAAAATAGCTAAGTGTGTTAGGTCTAACTCTTAGTGTGTCTTTTGCTCCCTCACCGGTCCGTCACAGCGGGTGGAGCTGCAGGATGTCTGCTTCACACACGTTGCATACCGCTATTTTATTGTAATTTTCGGACACCTTAAAATACTGCCAGACTGGTGAAGCCATTTTGGTGAGCTTGTTTTGCCGCGCACAGAGAAAAGTGTCATGTATTTTACGTCATGTGATCGGCTCTCACGATCGGCATTTTTAGAGAGCACCGATCGATCGGCAGAGAGTGAATATCGGCCGATATCGATCGGCGGCCGATTGATCCTACATACAATATTGATTACACTACACCTAAGGTAACCTGTTTTGGTAGGCTGATTTATACAACACTAGGCCGCATCAAACATTTAATGTAAAAACTTCACAGCCCCAACATATGAAGACATGTATGATGTATGTCCCTCAGTTTTGTACCGAGACCAACTTGATGCCTCTTTATGCAGTTGCCAAATTTCGCTAGCCCCCCTCCCACAGTCCCACTCTAAAGAGGCTGGCCATCAATTTGAAACACAGAAAACGTCCATATTTTGATATTGCTCGTATCCCATCGTCTGGAGTCCCCAATATAAAAAAACTGAGGGAGGGTTGAGGGGGGTTTTGTGAAACTCCAGTGTTGGAACTTTCCGTGTCTTTACCTGTGTGCCCACTTCTTATCCTCAGCTGCAAACGAGTAAACATCCTGATTCAAGATCATCACTTGGCTGGCTGTATGTCAAAGATGCGCTCCTCAAGAAAAATGTCCATGTGTTATTGCTGACCTTAGTTTTGTAGTTCTGTTGTGGTAGCTCAAGCATCTTAAAAATATTGTAGCCTTGAGTTTTGGTCATTCCTTAATGAACCATGTTACAAATTACAGTTAAAAACTCTTACCTTGTTTAATTGGACATATTTTTCCTCAAAGGTCCTTTTGTTAACTAAAAGGCATCTGTGTAATCTGATTTTAATTCTGTAAAGTCCCTATGAGAGGACCGAACACAGATTTAGCTTAACAGCCACAACCATCGCTATAGACTTTTTGTCCAGCACGTAAAGTGTTCCTTTTAGTATTTTATATTGAAATATATACGTTGGGGCTTTTTTTCCCCTTAACTTATTTTCCCTCTCAGTCTCTGTGGCTGACTTCCTCTTGGCAGATTTTTAAACTGAGAACGGAGATCCATTTGCTCTTAAACTGACTTTTGGGGGATTTTGGCTAAATTCCTTGCACTATTTAACTTCATCTAGCTGAGGCTCCTGTATGTTCAATTTCCCAAAAGAGTGAATTCCTTTCAGACTGGTGAACTGCACATCCGAAGTGACCGGCTGTTCATGAAATTGCAAATTGCAGCATGCTACAGTCTGTCCAAGGTATCTTCTGTGCTCTGCTCAACATCTGCATTTTAAATGTGCTGTCAAATGGACTAATCTTGTTTAAATGATTGGAAAATGTAACTTAGTTTCCCCAAAGTAATATCTCTACCGGGAACAGTTTTGTACTTTATGTTCTTTGTATGATCAACAATTTTCTTTCTTTGTCAGTTTGGCTTCATGGAGCCTATTAAACAGACTGTGGAAAATAACCTTGATTCTTTTGCCTTTCAAAACTACCGCATGGGGGAGTTTAGCCGATAGCTGTAGGCTTGCGTAAGTAAGCTTACGAGAAGTCAACAGCTTGAAGCACTGAAATTGCACATTTTGATTTGGAGGGCAATCTTTAATTGGCAGTTTATTCTAAATTTCTAAGAAAGAAATGGTAATTTGAATCTTTTAAAAGTCCACTTCCAGTCCACAAGCTGCCTGCCTGATCCAAGATTTCAAAATGTAAAGATGGTTTTTGGCTCAGTGCATCCTTAAATGTCTAGAAACCATCAACTTGGCAACTTGATCGTTTGAAATCAAACTTCTAGTGATGTTTGAAGAATAATCTCCTAAAGTGGCACATGTAACGCAGGGAATCATCATCAGTCTGGTCATGTTAATGCTTCATTACGTTCAAGAGGTCAGCTACTTCAAAAACCTACAAGTCCTTGGAGAGTGTTGCGCCTTCCAACAAGTGCTCATCAGAGATGAATGCTGCTCTCTGGTCAGGTCAAATGTGGAGAAAGTAGGCCAATGCACGTGAGGTAAAAAAATCTCCTTTTGCTTTGCTCACATCCTTCAAACTCAGTTCTCATTGTTTCCATGAATTCCTTCAAGTTAGTCATACGTTTCTAGTCCTTTGCTTCAGATGTCGCCCACAACATGCCATGGCCTCTACCCCGATTGGAAAAGTTAATTGAGAGAATGTTTCTAAGAAGCTCCTATGGATTGTAGTGGTCCACCTCCTGAGTCCACCAAAAGAAAAGCTTTGGCCTCTAAGTCATGGGTAGTATTGTGCTCAGTCTGTTCACTGCACTAGTCCTCACATTTGCTCATGTAATGCCCCACAACAGTCCCAATTGACGTCTAGACTGTTCAGTTTCTCTTTGCACCCTTGTATTTGAATAAGTGGTGAGTTTCAGAGACTAATAGGGTTGCATGCATTTTATTGTGTCAAAAGTTAATTGCTGTGCTTAATACTCCTTTTACTCTTTTTCTTTAGAATGAACTGGCTGGCAGAAGCTTCAGTGAATCTCCTCACAGGTGACATATCAGGCTGTAGATGGCCGTGACTGATGCAGTTCCCGTTAACAGGTGAGTTATTGCAAAACGTTGTGATCTGATGTTTTTATAGTTGGTGCGTGATTATTTGCCTGGCTGATGTGTCTCTGCCTTGTTTCAGGTCAAATGTGCCGCAGTTATGGTGCAGCTGTAAGCAGTGGCTACATGGGAGGAACCGACCAAGATCAGGCTGATTCCAAGTTGGAGGCCTTGGTTGATGCTAGTTTGCCTGAAAGACTTCCAAATGTAATGGCAGCTAATGAAAGGTCCTAGAGAACGAATGGACCAGATGACGGAGCTTGTCCTGACACAAGAAGCAGTTACTTTCAAGCAATGTCGTACAGTCATATTTGTTCAATCAAAAACACAAGTTTTCTGGTTGTTTTGTACTTTCAATAATAAATTGATGGATCAAACTTTATTGTGTTTGGGTATATTTCATGATAATTGCCGAAACATTTATTAAAATGTAAAATCAGACTTGATATTGTTGGAGGATTTAGGTGTTTGACAGATTTAATCAATGTGTTGACTGATGAAAGTTTGGAGCAATTAGGCTGTAATCAAAACACTTTATTGATCCCAGAGGGAAATCAGGTTTCGTGACAGCTGCAACCCAAAATGAGGCTGTAAAGAATGCATCGTGAGGTACAAATAAAATGATACTGTAGGCAAGTTTGGTGGATCAAAAGTTGGCATCATTTGTAAGCAATGGTGTGTAGCCAAGTAGCTGTCCTCCATACCTTATGCTCATCATGCTTGGGTAGAGAAAGTTGTACATGTTAAAGGACATTGCTTGATGGTGGGATAGCAGTGTACTATAGCATGTGAAATGTGAGGATAATGGCCAGAGATAAAGGAAATGTACATTCTTTCACTGAATGTGAAATTGAATCCTAATTGATAAAATAAACAGGGTACACCAGGATAAGGTACAGGAAAAAAAGATACTTTATTATTGAACATTTACAATCTGAATTGAGCGAGGAACAAGGTGTTGAAGGCGGTGGAGCTCAGGACGCTGTACGTCGTTGATGGTGCTTACACGTACCACTTGAAGCCGAAACGCTTTTGCAGTTGCTCTTTACGGGGCCGGAGGTTGAACAGCTCCTCCGTCAGAGGGATGATCCAGCGGTCTGTGTGGTAGACCGTCTCACCAACCTGCAGAAATGTTAAATGTTTTGTATAAATACAATGGCCTTAATGATAACATACATTAGATTCTTAAGGCACTTAACTCTTAAATAAAATAGAAAGTTTATGTTGTGGTGCTAGGATGTTTCAGTAAAGATCATGTAAAGACTATGTACAGTTTATTTAAAAAATGTCAGGCAGCTTTGGTATGTACACATTTAAACATCATGGCAGAAAAGGATCATTAAAGAAAGAAATATTGATGCCAAAGAAGTCATTACTTTATGGTGTCCATTTTGTTTAGCAATCAGCTGAATCCTGTTATTTACTAGTAAACTTAAGTGAAATGCTGTCATGTATTGACTGCTAAATGCTTTCTTTACATTTAAATTTGACACTCATATGTATCATTTGTTGACTCACTTATGACCTAAAATGTATTGAAAATATGATTTTTTTTGGTAATACAGCAAAAATTAAGCCCCGTTATAATGTCAGAAATATAACTGAAATAGACTACAATCCGCACTTAACCAGTTATGCCCTGAGCCTGTTTTTCAGGCTTAAGGCTGGAAAATGACATGCCCAGAACAAATGACTATCTTCACTTCTAAAAGGGGTAAATTAATAATCTTTTTTTCTCAAAGCAATTATATACCTGTGAGTTGGATGTAGAAAAGTCAGAATCAATATAGATGTTTTTATTTTTCAAGTAAATTCAGATTGCACATAGTAAAATAATGTCAATTATAGTTTCCGTCCAAAATAAACCCATTACTTATAGTGAAAACCACCCTTGAATGATGGGATAGTAGACTAAAAGCTTTAGGAATCCAAACTATAAACATATAATAAGCACCCTGTATCAAGATTGATGCAAAACAAGTGACATTTGACCTTTTTAGAGTGGTTTAGCAAAAATAAAAACACCTGGGGTCATTTGGGTGCATTTTCCATATCTCTGGAACCCATCGGTTGATTTTGATGATTGACACCTCTTTTGGAACGTTGGAGCCAATAGAATCGAGAGGGAGTTCCTAAATCCATCTAAACATACCATTGGTGAATGAGAGTGATGCGCAGCCAGCATGCCCAAAACCGGAAGCTCTCATACACTCTCGTAGCAGCTATATATGAAAACTAAAAGGTTATTGATTATTAGTATATGATGTTAAAGTTGAGTCCCAAAAAAGAGAGATCGCAGCTTTTTTTTTTTTTTTTACCTTCCAGCCAGGAACGTCCTTCATGAGAATCGCCTCCTCTTCTAGATTTTCCCTCAGCATCCGCAAGGTTCTGGCATGAGTGGAAATTAAAATGTTAACTGTTGTAATTGAGGAGAGTCAACGCCATATTGAAAGAAAAAAAAAAATCGTATCGCATTTGTCAGCGAGGCTTTTATGTGTCACCTTCGGTCGGTCTCTGCCTGCATCAGGGGCATCAGAGCTATCCTGGCTTCCATCTCCTCGATCTGCAAGCGCCTGCAATGCACACACGTCACCACTAGTTACAGACTGATTGTGAAATATTACACGCAAACACACTCTTTCACTGTAACGTACATTTGAACCAAAAGCAAAATTACAAGAATTACCCTACCTTCTCTCTCTGTTCCAGCTAAAAAGCCTCCAATAGCCAAACACCATGATGCCTATGCCAATGCCAAACATGCTATATCCTGTTGATGAAAGAAGGGGTTAGTGACAGTTTAAAGGTCCCCTATTATACTGTTTTTCATTATATTCATCAATATAAACTTTCAGAATCTCTTTACACAGAGGGGACACAGGTTTATGTATAAAAGACGTGAAAGAGTGGATTTTGCATAATAAGTGACCTTTAAAGCAAAATTTGACAGTGTTTCCCACAAATCTGAAATATACTTGGTGGTAACAGAGAACAGGGGGGGGGGGGGGGGGTAAAAAAAGATTAAAGCTAAATGGGTCGCGAAATATACTTTGGCGGCCGTTAATATACCTGGGCGGCCCACCCAAGTAAAGTCTATGTGTGGGAAACCCTGATTTTATTCATAAAAACAATTGATGTTGGGTTTTAAATGATTGCTTTCCCAAATGTATTATATGTTACAAAGTTGGAATAAATTAATCCATTGTACCTTATCTTTAAACTTATAAATGGCATGCAAAACTGACTTTTGGCTTACACAACCACCATGTAGATAATAGCAACTGAATGGGCTGGTTCGACACGCATATAGACGCCCAATGGTTGTGTTCAAATAATTGTTTGCTCAAGTTGAATAGTAGCAAACGTTTTTCAAGTGTTGAAAATAACCTATTAAAGTTAAATGAATAATATAATAACAGTTAACCAATACCTACTTTGTAAATAAAGTAATACATATTGCAAATGTTGGTAACAATTATTAAAGCGTGACGATACGCAGTTTTTTTGTTTCAGGCCTTACATGTAAAAAGCCTTATGACAGTGACTCATAGCCAAGCATGAACTCTTTATTCAGCAGTTAACCAAACACTTACATGTTCATATTAAACATGATAAGCCTTTACTCTACTAGCTGATAATTACAAAGTGCGGAAACCCCTATTCACCAGATAAAAATAACTGCTCAAATAATAATCTGTAACGCTAACAAATGTAATTCTGCCTTTAGAAATGTGTGCACTCCCAAATGTCTACTTCAGACCGTGTGCACCTATCATGTTATTTTTAACTTGAAATGTCTCGCTACGAAGTACAGTGGCTCAGGAGCAGCCTTCCTCGACATTGAGAACCAGCCACTGGCCGTTTCTCAATGTCGAGTAAACCTGCTGCAGAGCCACTATTTCAAGTATACTACGTCATCGAGTGGCGCCGAAGGACTGTTTAAATGCATGTTAAATGCCCAGCATTCGGCCCCACTCGATGACGTAGTATACTTGAAATAGTGGCTCTGCAGCAGGTTTACTCGACATTGAGAAACGGCCACTGTCTAAACTAAATACTGCCGTGATGAAACGCCATATCATGGATTATCAAGGATCATTTCTGAAACAGTATGGAGCTCAAAGGCTTTCTCTCTTGCCGGTTATACCACAAGGTGAGTTCCTTTTTATTTCCTGCTTTTTCACACACATGCTCTCCAGTACAGGTTAGCTCTGAGTGTTAGCGATGCTAATGTCAACACCGACCATATTACGTCCAAAACAGTCGTGCATTGTTTCTGATCGCAACTTTCTGATAGTGCCGTGGGTCCAAATCTCCGATATTACGTCATATCGGACGCAAATCTAGATCAGCTCCGTTGTACCCCCGTTTTTAGAGATTTTGGTACAGAGGAAAAGAGAGAGGGTTTTATTTTTTTTATTAGTCCTACTTTGTACTTTTACCCAACTACAATTCAGAGGTTAATAGTGTACTTTTACTCCACTACATTAATTTGAAAGCTTAAATTACTTAGCAGATATGGATGAATGATAACAAAATGTAATCAACACTTACAACTGGAAAAGTAAATAAAGATTTTAAAATGTGTTCCACCTTAAACAGCTGTGATAATCATATAAATACATCAATAATTATGATCAAAACATATACTATATATTATTCTGAAAATGGCTAATCTGCTAAATTAGTAGGCCTACTTTTACTTGAGTAAGATTTTGATTGCAGGACTTTTACTTATAACAGAGTATTCCTACACTGTGGTACTTCTGCTTTTACTTAAGTACAATATCTGCGTACTTCTTTCACCTCTGATGTGACTTCCATACTGACGACAGCAAGTAGACTTACTAGTGCAGTGCAAACCCGAAACCTAACTAAAGAAAACATCGTTAATATTTTTAACAGAATTTGCGGGGGCAGATTTAAATGCAACACCAGAATAGGCAAATCATGCGTTTAATATTAGGTCTCAGGAATTTCACACAACTGCCTTAGTCTTGGAAATTAACTTCACAACATGAAAACAAAAAGCTCATGTGTATTTTACAACATTATAATACAATTGGACTTGCAATGAACCGGGTGCCCGTGTTGGCTAGTTAGCAAGTAGCTGTCAATAATGACTCTTCAATGTTATTCAGCGACACACTTTTATAATGTACGCTGCAGTCAAACATACGTATTGTTTGTTTCCCCATATAGAAAGCATGACATTAAGACACTAAAAAAACGTTGACATTAAACATTTTACTATATAAAAGCTAAAGTGTCTACCTGACCCGTTAGCATTAGCCTCTGTTCAGTAAGTAGCAAATGTCCTCTGTCCTGTGCATACTAACAGCTCGAGTGTGTGGACCTGTATATTTCAATAAATGCGTATGAGATGCAAGTACCAGATAGTCCTCGTTTAGGCAGATTCCTCTTGTAATCAAACGCAGCATATCCTCCCGCAGGAGGCATGTCCTGCTTCACCTTGGACCCCGCCATCTTCCTCCGGCCTTCTCCCAAACACGCCGGTGACGTCACTGCAGCACTTCCTCTTCAGTCCGGAACAAGCCTCTGCGGCGCTCTACCGCCCCCACCGCTTTATTCTCTAGCACAGGGGTGCCCACACTTAGCTGGTGAGCTACTTTTGAAATGACCAGCTCACCAAGGTCTACCAACCAAAAATAAAATCCCAAATTGCAAGGGTTGCTGAATAACACGTTTTATTTATACATGGGATAACTACAATAGGGCTGCAACAAACGACTCATTTGATAATCGATTAATCTATCGATTAATGAAACGATTAATCGACTATTCGGACTATTACTGTATGCCTTGCACAATTTCTCAAACGCTCTAGCCATCAACTTTTAGATTTAGCTTGAGGTTGTTTTAGGCATGTGGAAGTGGAAACTAACAATGAAGACAATAAAGATGAATACTTGATTCAAAAATACATATATTATTAAATTAACTTAACAAATTGTGAACAAAATTAACATTGCTTTTTATTTAAATAAAATAAATAATATGTCACATCAAAAGAAACAACAATGTTTTAACAAATCGTATTAAATAATCTGATGACAGAATTGTAAACAGAATAGCTGAAACTTTATCAAAATAAATAACTCTAAAATTACCTCTAATCATTAACCCATGTTTGTATCATTCAATCAATCAATCAATCAATCAATGTTTATTTATATAGCCCAATATCACAAATGTTACATTTGTCTCAGTGGACTTTACAGTTTGTACAAAATATCAGTATGACAATACGACACCCTCTGTCCTTAGACCCTCACATCGTACAAGGAAAAACTTCCGAAGAAAACCCACAGTTTAAAGGGGAAAATGGGAGAAACCTCAGGGAGAGCAACAGAGGAGGGATCCCTCTCCCAGGACGGACAGACGTGCAATAGATGCCGTGTGTAAATTGAAAAGATAATACATTTGAAACATAGGTAGTCCAAATGTTTGGAAATGCATGTGTGTATAATAGGAAGATGAATCCACGAGGATATCCATCCAGGAACTATGATCCAGGACCACAGCCACGACTCAAGATCCAGGGCTCGCGATCCAGGACAGAGGAGCGCAGGATCATCGATGACTCCGGATCCCGGCGTATATAGCCACCAAAAAGAAAGACATTTGGGGAAGCTGGGTTAATCGGAACATGAGAGTACACAGGTATAGACAGAGAGAAGGAAGAAGTAAGATGTCCCCCGACAAACTAAGCCTATATCAGCAAAACTAGGGGCTGAATCTAATCAGCCCTAACTATAAGCTTTATCAAAAAGGAAGGTCTTAAGCGCACTCTTAAAAACGGATAGGGTGTCTGCCGCCCGAACACAAACTGGAAGCTGATTCCACAAATGTGGAGCTTGATAAGAAAAGGCTCTAGCTCCCATTGTACTTTTAGAGACTCTAGGAACAACCAACAACCCTGCATTCTTGGAACGCAATGCCCTAGTAGGACAGTAGGGTATAATGAGTTCTTTAAGGTAAGATGGCGCCTGCCCATTAAGGGCTTTGTAGGCGAGAAGAAGAATTTTAAATTCTATCCTGTGTTCTATAGGGAGCCAGTGTAAGGCAGCCAGAACAGGAGTAATGTGGTCCCTTTTCCTAACTCTGGTTAGTACACGAGCCGCAGCATTTTGAATCAGCTGAAGCGACTTGACTGACTTATTGGTACACCCTGATAATAAAGAGTTACAATAATCCAGCCTTGAAGTAACAAATGCATGGACTAGTTTCTCTGCATCGTTTTGAGGCAAGATATGCCTGATTTTTGCAATGTTACGTAGATGGAAGTAGGCGGTCCTTGAAATTGATTTTATGTGGGCGTTAAAGGATAAATCCTGATCAAATATAACACCAAGATTCCTTACAGTCTCACTGGAGGCCAAATTAATGCCATCCATAGTTAGTATATCCTTAGATAATTTGTTTCGTAGATTCTTCGGGCCAAGTACAATAACTTCAGTTTTGGTCGTGTTTAACATCAAAAAGTTTAAGGTCATCCACGTTTTTAAGTCCTTAAGGCAGTCTTGAATTTTATTTAGATGATTAATTTCATCAGGCTTGATTGATAAATATAGTTGAGTATCATCCGCATAACAATGAAAGTTTACAGAATGATTCCTTATAATATTGCCTAACGGAAGCATATATAATGTGAACAAAATATGTCCGAGCACTGAGCCCTGTGGCACTCCATGGCTAACTTTGGTTTGCGTGGAAGATTCATCATTGACACATACAAACTGAGAGCGTTCAGATAGATAGGACCTAAACCAGTCCAAAGCAGCTCCCTGTATGCCAACTAAGTGCTCTAGTCTTTGCAATAGGATATCATGGTCGATAGTATCAAATGCAGCACTGAGATCGAGCAAAACAAGAATAGAGACACGTCCCTTGTCAGAGGCTATTAGAATGTCATTTGTGACTTTAACCAGAGCTGTCTCTGTGCTATGATGTGTTCTAAAGCCAGACTGAAAAGCTTCAAATAAATCATTGTTTTTTAAGTAATCACACAGCTGTTTTGCGACCGCTTTCTCAAGAATTTTTGAGAGGAACGGAAGATTAGAAATAGGTCTATAGTTGGCTAAAACCTCTGGATCGAGGTTGTGCTTTTTAAGAAGCGGTTTTATCACTGCTACTTTGAATGATTGTGGAACATAGCCTGATAATAAAGACATATTCATAATATTTAATAAATAAGTGCTAATTAATGGAAAAACTTCCTTCAACAGCTTAGTTGGAATTGGGTCTAACATGCACGTTGATGGTTTAGAAGAGAGAATCATTGAATTTAATTGTTCAAGGTTTATGGCTGAAAAGCATTCTAGTTTACTATCTAGTGTAATATTAGAACTTACGTTTCCGGGAGCTGTTGATAACACTATACTGGTCAAAGGCAAGAGGTCATTAATTTTGTTTCTAAGAGTAACAATTTTATCGTTAAAAAAGCACATAAAATCATTACTACTGAGTGCTATGGGAATAGAAGGCTCAATCGAGCTGTGGCTTTCTGTCAGCCTTTCTGTCATTGAGTTAACTCCGTGTGTTGCTGCTAGCATACATAACACCTGACGTGGAAAAGTTACTCGTGGATGGGGGGGCTACAGAGCTACTAGAAAGACAGTCGAACCCGGTGCATTCCTCCGTCTGAATGTGGAGCACTTTTGCTAAATGTTTAGACAAATTGTCCGTGTTACCGCCCTTACATGCTAAACACTCTTGGCAAGGAGCATTGTCCACCTCAAGACGGGTAACATTTAACCACACCTTGGAGCGCTTCTCTCCGCCATCTCCTCCGTGTGTTGCTGCATGTAGCAGCCGCGTGTGTAAACTGCCCCGCCCCCTCGCACACAGACGGGGGAGAGATCTCGTCTGGATTGGAAAGGTCGAAAATACACCGACCATAGGCGCATTTGTGTGTCTTTTTGCATGTTAGAAACGAGTTGGCGACACTAAGACTGCAAGATAATGTTTTTGTAGCAATAATACATGACCTTTCTCTTTCTCAACTCGCTACTCGGAGGGAAGTCGCTGTCATATGCCTTGTGAACACTCCAATAATGCCTCCACGTTACCTTTCTTTGACAGAGCGACGCTTGCTTTACAAATAAGGCAAATAACCTTTGAATGTGACATCACAACAAAATATTCTCCCTCCCATTCTGGGTGGAAGTGGTATGTCTTTAGCTTTTTGCTCGGTCCCGCACTCATTTTGTTGTTTGTCTCTTTAACTTAATTTGAGTTTTCCCGGCACTTGACTGATTTTGTATCGCTTTGCATTCTGGGTTAACAGACTGGAAAGCGATAGGTCGCTTTTTATGTCAATCAAGTAAACTCCGGAATAGAGAGGCGAAGTCCCTCCCCTTCCGAAAGCCTCCATGGGACCCCGGAAGCGGAAAATTATACATTGAAGTCAATGGAGAGAGAAAGGTTATCTTTTGATCCCGTTTCAATTGTGCCACGAATGACACATATGATGTTTGTCAATTTAAAAGAACATTTTGCAAGTCAAAAAAATAAAAATGTGTCGTAAAACTGTGAAGTTACACATTTTTTCGTGTGAAACCGCTCAGTGAACTACAGGTCTCTCGTCTCGCACAATACGCGTCACCAACATAAAGATGGCCGTCACGTTAGCACATTTCACCACATTCTTTCAGAATGAGAATAAAAGTATTTTACGAGGTGAAAATCACTACAAGTCTGGGCACGTTGAGAGCTGTACCTATATGAAAGGGGAGATAGTCGGTTCTGTAAGAGCCAGCATGCGGGACCGGCTTTACAAGGTTTCGGTGAGTAATATGAGTGCAATGTGTAACGTTAATGTCAGCTAGCTAACATTAGCTAACAAGGTACAGTAACGTGTTTTGTTTTAACAACTAGTTTTCTCCTTAAGAACTTCGTGGTCTCTGTGTATGCTGTGGATAACATTAGTGTTCACAAGAACAAGATACACTCCCGTGTTTTGTTTTAGTTGCTCTTCAGATTGAAGCGGCCAGTTTTATATCGACTATACTGTATGTGTGATCTCCTTTTTCTCGTTGTGTCTTTTGAGTTTATTTGCTGTGTGTCGATTCAAGGATTTTGGTTATCTAGGCACAGCTGTGTGTGACTCCCTCTGGTACACCGGTATGTGTTTTCCTAATGTAGAGAGCATTGATTAATTAATAAACTACACACTGAGTCTAGATCCTGACCAAATCCTTTTTTATTGTTGATCAAATGTTTTTCAAAAATGTATTCATACACATTTAGAAAAATACAATGTACAATCACAACCAATACAACACAAATTACAAAAAATACAGAAAAAACAAACAATAACAACAGACAAGAGGACAAAACTATGGAAAAATAAACCCTCCCACCCCCAGATCCGGACCATCCTTGTATTATTGCTCATTCAATCTATTATAGCATGCTAACAAATGGTACTTACTTTATTTTTACAGATCTGCATGGGAGACGATGGCGCGATGCAGAGCGCTGTCTGTGATTGTGCACAGGAGATGTACAAATGCAGCCACGCTGCAGCATTGGCAATATT